TGGGATGAAAATGCGGCCCACACAGCACCTTATCATCCTGAAGCGCAGACGGTTGCACAAACAGACGCCGGCGCGGAGAGTGGGACATCCCCCGGCCGCGACACACGATGGTTCCAACCGTGTGAACGATTTGTTCGACTTCTTTTTCGGGGGTAACAGGGGCGACGCGAATACACTACCAGGTGATAAGGAAGATTCTGATCCTCCAACTAACGCCATGTCGAGCTCGGCAGACGCGGCTCCTGGTGCTTGCGTGTCTAGCGCTGCTACTCCGACTGTGCAAGTTCACTCACGCACAGGTGCGAACATTACAGAACAACTGGTTTGACGGTATGTTGCTTTTATTTGAGCAATTACAGCACGTTATTGACGTTGCAGTACTCCACGTTGCGTGCCTGACTCTTAGGAGGCCCGGAGGAACGTACCAACGAGTATCAGCGGCGCCGCATGAGGCGCAGTCGTACTAACGTCGATGACTCAGAAGGTAAGATGCACCATGTTGCATGTCGGAAGCGATGCTTCAATTTGCCTCACAAGTTGTCAACGTGGCGATGTGGCAGGTGGTTCAAGGCCCACTAATACCGATGGAGTGTTGCTTCTCCTGGATGTTCTTGACCGTCTCATGCCGCGACATCGTAGCATGAGTTTTGAAAGTAGACCATGTTGTGGCAATATGTGCTGTGGTGGACATGTTCGAATAGTGGGACATCGGGTTCAGAATGCATTAATATCAATTGGGTTGTACGCGAAAGAGGATTGTATGAAATTGGCAATATTGTTTATGATTATCCAGGTCGTAAACTGCATACAATTGTTTTCGGATGTACCCGATTCTTAACGAGTGACACATACATGCGTACATGTTCGCTGTAGCGAGGATACTCTCACGATCCTGGTACAATCGAAACTAGACGGAACAAGTGCTTGTTGGTTTCCGGTGTTTCTTAGGTCGGCCTTTGAGGTGGTCAGGTTTTCGAATTACGGCTAACATCCTCACCATCCAGACCCGCGCATTGTTCGTACACGATGGCTTCAAAGCGCCACTATACCATAGGTGCGAGTGGGGTGACGTAGGAGGTTGACGAATGATACAAACGGGCGATAGCGTGACGAGACGTATGAGAACGCCGGGCGTTGCGCTAGGAGTAAAGAAGGAGATGACCGGGGAATGGAAACGGAGTGTTAGTCAGTCAAGTGCTTATAGGTTGTAATGCGTGTAGCGGAGAGCGTGCTGTTGGAGTAGGCTAGTGTTTGCTCTGCATTTCATTTTGGCCTTATATTATTTTTTCGGCCACTTTTAGACTTAGTTTCATTTCTGGTTCATCTTAGGTTCACTTTGCAGTTTGCCTCTGCACTGAACACGCCTTAGGTTCAGTTGGGGTTTCCCAACCCTAACTTTCAAATGTCTCTCGACACTTTCTCTAGTGCAACTTTCCTTCTCGTTACTTCACTCACTAGCTATGGCTGCCACTCACCTAACTTCAACACGTGCCTGACAGATCGGTAGATACGGTGGGACGTGATGGGTAGTCGGGGAACGGCCTTATGGTAATGTCGGGGGGCGTAGATTAAAACTAATGTCAGGGAACAAGTGTGGGGCATGTGGCCACGAGCTTGAGTCGGACAACTTACTGAGGATCCATCTGTACCGCAATGACACGTGCAGGGACACGCTGCTCGAGAGGTTGGAGAGTCGGGCAGTGGAGGCGTTGGCGGAGGCATTGGCCGCGGTCCGGAATGGCCCGCAGCATTCCGATAGTGAGTCTGTCTCGGGTAGCCCGGCACTCTGCAGACTCGCTGTTCCGATATCTGAGAGAGTCACCTGAACACGCGGACCTGGTGCGCGGGCATGTGTCGTCGTCGGACGATGGATCCGTTTCCAGAGTTGGCGAGTTGTTCAATACACTGAATGAGCTGTACCTGTTCTTCAAGGACGCTGATATGTCAGACAGAGAAATAAATCGAATTCTGCACATCTTCAACCACAAGGGGTACGATCCTGCAGCGGCTCGTCGCTAGCAGAACGTCGCGGACGTGAGGCGGTATGGGGATGAACACGCGCCGGACGACATGTTGCCGTGGCTCAAGGCTGAGATTGAGGTGCGGGGGCCCGGAGGAAGGTCGCAAATGCTGGAACTGCTGTACAAGGACACCAAGCTGGTGAGCGTGTGGTATTTATTGCAATACATTTCCTGCCGCACTACTGAGTCGTTGATGCGGTTCTAACACTCTCGTCGTTGCCAATGCTGAGGCAAATAGCTCAAAAGATCGTAAAGACATATGTAAATGTGAAGGGGTTTGTCAAAAGGCCGCGGAGAGATCCAGAGGATACGAACGACATGCGACATTTCAGTACGCCCGACACAGGGACTTGGCTGGAAGAGGCGCAGGCAAGTAACCAGCTATGTTCACAGGCGTCCTCATGAGGCAACGCGAGAGTGGGACTGACATTTTCGATAAATCTTTTATATTGACAGGCGGAAACTACCGGAGGATGATTCAATGGTGTTGGGTGTTATATCGTACAGTGACAGCACGTACGCGTCGAGGAACGGACGCTTGAAGGCTTGGCCAATGCTGATGGGTTTGGTCAATATACCAGAGGAGTTAAGATGGCAAGAGCACAGGTCACGCTCTAGTGGGGGTGCTCCCTTTTCCCGCTTGAGTGGGCGTCGGCGACAAAGAAGACTCGAGTGTACCATGAGGTGTATCGCATCGTGACGGTCTGTTGATGCGAGAGAGCCGAGAGTAAATGTTCTGAATGCATGTTGTTAGCCGTATGATGCGATGGGGTTCATGGTCGGCATCTGATGGGCAGCAATCCGTTATAATGTGCATGCGGTGGTCCGTTACGATTCTTCGATGTGTCCGGATGGGCGCAGAGGTGTGGTGAAGGCATATCCATGCCTATATGCATTTGTCGGCGACTATCCCGAAGGGTGCCGGGCCACAGCAACGATGCAACAGGCATCACACACACCGTGCTCGAGCTGCTACATCAAGAGGAAGCACCTCCATGACCTGACAAACGAGTTCATTGTGCGCACGGTGAAGAGGGGAGCGGCATGCGGCGGCGGAGATACTGAGCGCCCCAACGGTGGATGACGCTGCAGCGGCCCAAGCCAGGTGGTCCACGCATCCGATCACGGTACGCGGGCACCGTTCCTGTGTCGCATATTGTACTTTTTGACCGAGAACTCGCGTGGAACATGAGAGTTTGTGCATCGCGCTGAGCGTTGGGTTTTGACTGACACTACCATCCGATGTACAGAGAGTGTTGGAACGGTGGAACTTCTCGGAGACAAAGTGGGGCAATGTTGTCTTGGCATGCGTGGGCGACATATTGCATGTACTCGACTCAGGGGTGCTGGTACATATGGCCATGTGTTTTATGGAGGGAAAGACCAAACCCGAGATCAGAGTGTTTGATCAGTGAGTAACCGCATGTTCCTTCTCCTTGAATCTTTGCGGTACTACGCGAGAGGATGTGGTAACGAGGCACATGGGCGGTGCGTTGCATTTGTGTGCTTGGTGCCTGGTACAGCCGCAAGTTTGGAGTGAAGGGCGACACAAGGAGTGTCTCTAGTGCGCATCCTGGGTGGCTCGACCGTTTTCTGCAGCGGGGCCAATTATGCAGCTTTCGAGTACCATGGCATGATGCAGATTTTCCCGATCGTCATTGTTGACCTGTTGCGTGGGGTGCTCTGCGGAGGAACGGGCCAAACGAGATGCGGAGGTCCGTGCGTTTCGATACTACGCGGTGTTTTACAAGCCACTGCTAGTCGTGACCAAAACACACGAGGGTCACAATCGCTATCGCCAGGCAGCATGGCATCTCGTGAGTACACATGCACGCCGTGTCCATTCGTACTCTACATGGCCATCTTGATCCATGGTGTGATGGAACAATCTGCTAACGACGATGAGCTTGCTTGTACGTGTAGGCTGATAGCTGCACTGCAGGCCGCTTTCCCGAAGCAGAAGTCGAATTGGAACTTCGTAAGGCTCCACGAAGTCGTGCACATCATCGACGGCATAGCCATGAGGGGTTTGCCGCACGAGTATTTGACGGAGCTGTGGAGGAGCATACACACAAGGGCACCGTGAAAGGCCCCGTGCGCGGGCAGCAACTGGAAGGACATACCACGGAGAATTGTCGAGGAGGAGACGCAGCGTGAGATCACACAGGAGATAGCGGCGCTGTCAGGGCGGTGGAAGAACATACTACATGGCCCTGCGAGAGGGTACAAAATGCGTTATCGTGTAGTATAAGAGGTACTTGGGTAAGGTACACATGGAATCGTCGTGTTCGGTAGTTGTCACGAAACAGTCTCCTCCCATGCGTGCCCACAATCCACCACTCAGGCTTTGCGCAACATAAAGCCCGCGCTGACCCGCACCAGCAAGGCCATGTGTCTCGTGACGGCCGACGATCCACCGCGCATGCTGTACAGGAAGGCGGTGGGAAGCGATTTTGACAACATGGCGACTCTCATGACCGCGGACGGTCTTCAGACAGCTAGAGTGTTGGTGAGATATCTTCCTATGTCAAAAACCATGTGTCGGGGATTCATGTTTGAAAAATGGTAGTGCACTTTGAGTAGCCGTGGTATGTAACTGAGGGCGTTGGTACAATGTGATGTTCCATGTAACTGCAAGGAAAGGGGTTGGAGAGAGAAAGGGGAGAGAGTGAGATGGCAGGAGTTGGAACAGGAAGTGAGGCAGGCGAAGGGGAGTGTAGACGGATGGGGTGATGATGGGGCGAATGTGAAATGAAAACTGGGAGGTTTTGTGCGCGGTGAAAGCGAGGGATAGGCAGGAGAGGTAAACGAGGACAACCGAGTGGAAGGTTGTTGGCAGAAAATTGGCGGGAGGGGAGGGCGAGGGGATGAGGCGGGGAGGCGGAAGGGCTGGGGAGGATAAGAAGGATGGTTTGTTGAGAAGGGGGGCAGTGATGACGCCACACATCCCAGAATCACAAACACAACATCCCCTGTACCTCACGAGCACAGCACAAACCCCTCTCCTGCACCACCATTCATCCCCGCTGCCCAGCCTGATGATACTAACAGACACAGCCACCACAAGTGTATGCGGAGCCAACCTAGCACGCCACATGCACAGCCTCTGCACGTCCCACACGCTACCGCACCCTGCAGCACCCCACGCCACACACACCACAGCAGCCAGGTGCATCCCAGTAAGGTGCCCACACGCGTGCACTTGACGCTTGGCACTTGGTGCTGCGCGCTTGGAGATTCCCCAGCAGGCTGGAGTGTGTCGGGGAGTACCTGGGAGGTGAAGGCGGCGTTGTAGAGGCGGAGGGCGCCGGTGCCGTGCAGGCGGGTGGTGAGCGCGTCCAGGAAGCAGTGCGCCACTCGCTGCCCCGCCCGCCCCTCCGCACCACGCTGCTGCTGCCACGCGCGCCCGCAGCCCTGCCACCCGGTCCTGCCACAGGGAGGGGGGCGCACGGGCGTGGGTGGGGGGAGGGGGTGGTGTGAGGGGCGTGAGAGGGATTATGATATTTCTTGCTTTTGAAAAGGGGGTGTGGTTGAGAGAAATGGGGTAGATGGGTTGTGGATGGGGGAAGGGCGGGAGGACGAGTATGGAGTTGGGCTGGCGGGGAGAGAGGGAAAGGGCCAAGTCGGGGCTGGGACGAGGAGGATATGATAGAAAGAAGACCAGTGCGAGACACGAAGACACGTATTGAAAAGGAAGGGGCAGGAGCGGAGCATAGATTAAATGGGGTGGTGAGAGAGCGGAGGGATAGAGGGAGGGAGGGAGGGAGGGAGGGAGGGAGGGAGGGAGGGAGGGAGGGAGGGAGGGAGGGAGGGAGGGAGGGAGGGAGGTGAGGGAGGGAGGGAGGGAGGGAGGGAAGGAGGGAGGGAGGGATGGATAGTGGGGGAGAAGAGAGCAGGGAGGGGGCACTGACCATGTCAGCGGTGGCGATGGCTTCAGCGAGGGCGAGCACGAGCTGCCTCACCTCGTCCATGCCCACATCGCTCTTGCCCTTGTGCATGCGCGCACGCACAGGCCGGGGCACTGCCACGACCATGGCCTCATTGCGCAGGCCCGTGAAAGGGCATGTGCATGGGCGAAGGCATGTGCATGGGCGAAGGCATGTGCATGGGCGAAGGCATGGGCGGGGATGCAAAACCACCCGCTAGTCTGGTGGTGGCAGCAGCACCGGGCAGCAAAGAGGGCAGCAGTGAGTGGTAAGCGACGGGATGAGAGACCGACGCAACTGGGAGCGCCTGCAAGGAAGCTCGTGTGTACGGAACCGCGGCGAGAGAGGGCAGCTGCTGGGCGGCAAAAGGGTCGTGCGGGGCAGCGAGCATGGCGGGGGCGAGGGCGAGAGCAGGCGCGCAGCGGGTGACGTGCTGTGCGAGCAGGAACGGATCCATTTCTTGTGACCGGCCGTCTGGACCAAGCCTGCCAGGAACCACGCGTCGGGTAGGGACGGCGCCGCTGCTGCAGAATTAGTATTGGGCTTAGGAGGAAAGGCAGATGCCGCAGTAGGAGGAGCAGCAGTGTGTTGAGAGCTGAATGTTGCGGAGGTGTGCACCTGGCATGCTACCTGCTCTGCTGTGTGCCCCGAGGGCCACTTCTCGCGCCTGCACTGCCCGCCGCTTGCTGCCTGACTCCTCGCCATGCGCCTCCTGCACACCACCGCCCCCACCACGCCCACATGTGAGCCTTCCCCCATCACCACCCAGCCTTCCGTGCCTCGCCCATGCAGGCCCGACGCGCTCTCTCGCCCTCCCTCCTCCAAGCCACGCTCCAGGCCATTTGCTAGACCCAGCCTGCTCGTGCATCATCATCATCATGCCTCCTGCTAAATCATGCCGGGGGCACCGTGCCTGCTGCCCTTGCATGCCCTGCAGCTGCAGCAGTAGCGTCATGCCCCGCCCTGCGCTTGGCCCTGGCCTTGCGTTTCCGGCGTGGCTTATTTGGCTGATGAGAGCTGCCAGTCGCCCTGACAGATTGGGCAACTGCCGCACACGCGGGGTGCTGCCACTCACTGCCTGCTGCTGCTGGTGCTGCTGATTATTATTTCCCTTACTGCTATTACTACTATTAATATTCACATTATTACTAAATTACAAAGTGTGCAGGAGGATAGAAACAAGGAAAATCTACCGTGCGTGACATGGCATGAGATGGTCCATGCTCTCAACCCATGACCCACGGCACCTGCCAGAGAGTGCACATGAGCAGCGGGCAGCCATGCCATGTGAGCTGCGCTGCGCCCTCTGTGGCCAGCATGCCCAGCCCCAGGGGGGTGCTGCGGATGGTGCCATACGCCTCCTCCAGCACGTCTGCCGGCACCGCCAGCGGCACAAACCCCGCGTGCCGAATGCGCTGCGCCCACTCCACCAGGCTCTCCGGGCGCACCGACCTCTGCATGCCCTCAGTGGCCACCATGTTCACGATGTTGTACCCGAAGAAGGCCCGCTCAAATGCCAGGATGTGGTCGCGGCGAGTGGGAGCTTCGAGGAGGGGGGAAGGCGCAGGGGTGGGTGGTGTGGGCTTCTCAGTGGCTTGTGAGAGAGAGGACATGCAGACTTGGGACCAGCTGGTGTCAGCACTGCCCACCGCGCCTTGTGCAAAGGGCTGTGCGTCGGTTGACAGATGGTGCTGCTGCTGCTGTGGTTGCTGGTTGCGCTGCTGGTGGAGTTTGGTTGGCTGGGGCGCGTGGTTGGGGGCAGGGCATGCAGAGAGGCCCTCGTGGCACTCAAAGAGCGCGGCGTGGTAGTCGAGGCAGTTGCGCAGGCGCGAGAGGAAGAAGGGGCCGTTGGCAGAGAGGTCAGTCTCCATGAATGCAAATATGTCCGGAGCGAGGGAGGCCACCCACTGGCGGGACGGAGGGACGAACACACAAGGGCAATCAAGAGGGGGTAGAGGGGAGGAGGGAGGGAAGAGAAATGAGGAGATGCAACTCACGTAAGGACATGCGCCTCCATGGCAGAGGTGATGTGATGCGAAACAACGAGACGACCGCGGAAAGGGAAGGAGGCTGGTTGGGCAGCAAGGATTGTTGTGCAGCACACAGCATTGCGAGCATCGTGCGGTGCCACGGCCCGCTGCCCCACACACGCAGTGATGCAACCACTGAAAGCAGGCAGCAGGCAGCGCACCTTGAGAACAGCATCTCTAGGGCTGCTACGCATGACAGAGCTGTCGTGGAAGTATTGCAGCTCCAAACAACAGCACACCGCCACCACCTCCTTCTCCTCTTCCTCCTCCTCCTCACACCCCTCCCCTTGCCACTCCTCAAGACCCCCCTCCTGCACCCCTCCACGCATCCTCCTTGTCCCACTGCCACCGCGGCCCTGCCATGTGCGCCGGCCCTCCACCTGGGAGAGGCTATCAGCGAGGTTGTCCTTGTTCATCGTCACCACGCGGTGCTCAAACCTCTCTATGCCCAGCGCTGCTGCCTCTGCTGTGAGCTGAGCTGTGAGCATCCTCCCCAGCTCCTCGTGCTTCTGCCGCTCACACTCTGCCACCCAGCACTGCTCCGCATTCCCCACCTCCTCCACCTGAACGTCTCCCACTCCCCTGCCTCCTACACCATCTGCTCCGCATCCCGCCGCTTCCCCCGCTCCCGCCCCTGCTTCTGCCGCTGCTCCTGCTGTGCACCGCTGTGTGCAGTGCTTGGCAGCTCGGCTGACACGGAGGCAGTTATCAACGGTTGTGATGCGCACGCAGCGAGGGGGGCCGCCAGGCAGGCAGGCAAGGCGGCGCAGCAGCAGCGACCACTGCCCGCCCAGGTACACTCCAAAGTCGACTATGTGCAGCGCCCCCCTCCGCATGCCTTCCCTTTGGCTCTTCGCTCCTGCTTCACACGCTGCTCGTCCCACTCCTGCTGCTGCTGCTGCTTCCCCAGAGCAAGAAAACTCTCCTGAGCCGTCGCTGCAGTGGCTGCTGCTGCTGCTGCTGCTGGTGCCCGGCGCAGAAGGATGTGTGGTAACGGGGGAGCACACGGGGGTGTCGTGAGGCGCGCACGGATCGAACGCAGGATAGCGAGCGGTGGTGGTGGTGCCAGTGGGAGGGGAGGGGCGAGAGGAGCGGGAGAAGGTTTGCAGGATGGCGGAATAGGCGGTGGCGTAGAGGAAGGGGATGAAGGGCGTGGTGGTGAAATACACTTGGCGCGACTGCAGCATGTCCTGAGATGCAAAGGGGAAGAGAGAGAGGAGACCGGGGGGGAACGTGGTGGGACAAGGAACGAAAGGTTGGGGCGTGGTGGTGAAGTACACATGGCGCGACTGACTGGAGCATGTCCTGGCAGGGGGCAGCGCGCATGGCGACAGGGAGAGAGCAGGTAGATGGGAGGAGCACGTGGTGGTGGGAGAAGCAAAGGGACGAATATGAGATCGAGTAGGGAGTGAGTGGTGCGGTGACAACAGAGTGGTCTTCCCCTGTTGGGCTGGTGAGGGGTAGGAACTGATGATTCCTCAATCCCAACTTCACAGCCATAACACCCCCCCAGCCCCCTCAGCTTCCCCACATCTCACCTGCAAACGCCCCTCGCCTTCTGTACCTCCTGCACACCATTCACCTCCGCTGCCCCGCCTGGAAACGACAGGCACGGCACGCCCACCACATGTGCATGGGCGCCAAACCTACCATGCCCCATCACATCGCACGCGCGTCCCACACGCTAGCGCACCCCACAGCACCGCACCCCATCACATCACACCCCACCGCAACCAACCACATCCCACCAAGGCAACCACACCACACGTGCACTTGGCGCTTGGCCATGGGAGCTGGGCGGTTGTAACTTGCACAGTGCGTGCATGTGGGAGTACCTGGGAGAAGGCAGCGTTGTAGAGGCGGAGGGCGCCAGTGCCGTGCAGGCGGGTGGTGAGCGCGTCCAGGAAGCAGTGTGCCACTCGCTGCCCCGCCCGCCCCTCCGCACACGCCGCTGCTGCCATGCGCGTCCGCAGCCCTGCCACCCGGTCCTGCAGGGAGAGGGGCGCACGGCTGTGTGTGGGGTGGGGGAGAGGGGAGGGTTGGGGGGGGGGATGAGGGGAGTAAGGAGAATGCGAGCGTCGAGGTGTTGGGACCTTTAGGAAAGATGTGTTGTGGATGGGGAGGGAGGAGATGAGGGTTGATGGGAGGGGAGGGGTCGAGGCGGTACAGGAAAGATGGGATGATACAATAGAAAGAATATAAATGGGTGCGCAAGAGGACGACACATATTGAAATGGATGGGGAAGGTGCGGGGCAGGGAGCGTGTGCGGTGGTGAGAGAACTGAGGGGAAGAGGGGATGAGGGAGGGAGGGAGGGAGGGAGGGAGGGAGGGAGGGAGGGAGGGAGGGAGGGAGGGAGGGAGGGAGGGAGGGAGGGAGGGAGGGGGCACTGACCATGTCAGCGGTGGCGATGGCTTCAGCGAGGGCGAGCACGAGCTGCCTCACCTCGTCCATGCCCACATCGCTCTTGCCCTTGTGCATGCGCGCACGCACAGGCCGGGGCACTGCCATGGGCATTGCCTCATGCGCAGGCACGTAAAACGGCATGTGCATGGGCATGGGCATGGGCATGGGCATGGGCATGGGCATGGGCATGGACGTGGGTACGGGTGTAGGCATAGGCATAGGCATAGGCATGGGCATGGGCATGGGCATGTTCACTGATGTGAAACCACCCAATAATTTGCTGCTGGCCGCAGCACCGGGCAGTGCAGTTGGCAGCAGAGAGTGGTACGCGAGGGGATGAGAGGCCGACACACCCTCTCTGCCCGAATGACATGGGAGCGCCTGGGAGGAAGCTCGTGTGTACGGAACTGCAGCGAGTGACGGCAGCTGCAGCTGCAGGGTGGCAAAGGGGTCGTGCGGGGCTCTGAGCATGGCAGGGGCGAGGGCGAGAGCAGGCGCGCAGCGGCTGATGTGCTCCGTGAGGAGAAACGGGTCCACCTCTCCTGACAGGCCGTCTGGACCCGAGCCTGGCAGTAACCACGCGTGGGGTAGGGACGGCGCCGCTGCAGCATTGCCTCCTGCAGCAGCAGCAGCAGCGCTAGTAGTGGGCTTAGGAGGGAAGGAAGGTGCTGCAGCGGCAGCAGCAAGGTGCTGAGAGCTGAGTGCTGCAGAGGGTGGGACCTGCGACACTTCTCGCGCCTGCACTGCCCGCCGCTTGCTGCCTGACTCCTCGCCATGCGCCTCCTGCACACCACCGCCCCCACCACGCCCACATGTGAGCCTTCCCCCATCACCACCGCCTGTGCCTCGCCCATGCAGGCCCGACGCGCTCTCTCGCCCTCCCTCCTCCAAGCCACGCTCCAGGCCATTTGCTAGACCCGCCTGCTCGTGCATCATCATCATCATGCCTCCTGCTAAATCATGCCGGGGCACCGTGCCTGCTGCCCTTGCATGCCCTGCAGCTGCAGCAGTAGCGTCATGGCCCCGCCCTGCGCTTGGCCTGGCCTTGGCGTTCCGGCGTGGCTTAT